CTTCCATAGTGCTTCATTGCAGGTATTTCTCAATGTGATCTCTGCTCAGTGAATACACTTACTGTCTCTGAAAATGCAAATACAGTGTTGTATGTGCTCAGTGCATATTGCTTTCCCAGAGGCTTTTATCTTAAAACCTGGTTTCTGAACCTTGGAGTAGTAACAGAAGGCCATGTCAATACTTCGTATATTCTTGGTATGTTAGTGAATGAACTTATTCATACTGGCTCAAAATGTGAACTTGTTCATACATATTCCTGTATTTCTTTTCTCAGACGTAGGCTGCCAAAAATTTGTAACTGGAAAAAGAAGTGGCCAATGCAAAATTACTTTTTTTTTCCTTATGTTAAAGAATAAATCCATTTTTTTTTTTACAAGCGTGAATACAAATGGAGAAAAAATTACACAGCTGTCATTATGAGTTACAAAAGAATCTTCTTTTTTCTATGCATATTGAGTGTCTTGTGAAATATTCCTTTTGGATATATCCCTCTTGAAAAGGTTTTAAATCATGCAAGAAATTATTTTCAAGAAATTGTTTAATCTAACTTCCTAGACATTGCGTGAAGCACCAGCCTCACCAATAGTCCTTGAGGTATTTGTTACACCTTCCTACCCAGAGGAGTAGGTCATGTGGAAGTAAATATGCATATGTTTATTTAAATATATTACACATAATTTTCTTTTAATTCCTGGTAGTTTTTAAGATTGGAGACTAATAAAATGGAATTGAGCTAAAGAAATCTGTACAAGGTATCGACTCTGGAAAGCTTTAATTTTCCCCAGTGAGTGACACATTTGTCTTCTGTCTGCAAATGTGGAAAATTTATTTAAATGTATGCTGCTTCTTTCCTTTACACAGAATTAATATAGACAAGAATTAGGACTGAAATCAAATTTGATAGAAGAGTCACAGTCGAGAGCTTGGTGAAAACCTGTCTTTTTCTTACAAATACAAGAAGAGAAGAGTTCACAGCATCTTTTCCTTCTATTTGATCTGAATTTACTTTCGTAAGGTACAATATGTAGGTTAAACCTTTGAAGGATCCTTTAGTTGTCTAAAGAGCTATATGTGAATTAGGAGGAGTTAATTCTAATTGTGAAATTTTGCATTAGTAGAGCAGGATTTCTGTATTCTGATGTCTCAGGATGTATGCTGTTTGCCGCAGAGATCAATTAATGCGTCTTTCCCCTCCCCCTTTCCTTTTTTTGATAATAGATTCGAATGACAAATTATTTCCTCGGAGTATGTGGTCATATGCATAGTAGGATTAAATAGTTCAGTGCATGTACGTGGCAGACCAGTATGCCCCTGCTGAATCTTGCTTGCGGCTTTGAACTTTCTGTGGTTATGAAGATATTCTTTGAAAATTGACTGTGAAAATTAATTCTGCATGTGTATATGTTCCCTCTCAGCAAGGCCAGGGGCTGGAGTGGAGTGTGGCCCAATTTAATTGAATTTTCTCTTAGGAGTCCCAGCGCGGATACAGTTCTGTTGTCACTTTTTCCTAAGAATCCCTTTATTTGAACACCTTGCCTCAACTGAGAGCCCGTGTCTGCTGCTCAGTTCCTCCTGTTCTGGCTGGAGGCTGTTGTCACTGTGAGTTACTTTGTAATGTCTGTGTTCCTGGGTGGTGTTGTCATCCTTGTAGCCATCTCTGCCTGTCTCATGTTGTCCTCGCAAAACTGAATCCTTTTGTCTTGGGATTGAGAATTTAAAATTTTACCCAGATGGGTCTCTAAATACAGAAAAAAAGTTTGCCTTCAGAGCTAGGAGGTGGAGCATGGTAGAGCTCTTGAAGTTAGTATGTTCTTACAAGTTTCCTGTAAAAGGTGGAACTAGAGAGGCGAGAGAGACACAATTAATTTTCTGCCAAAGGAAAAGCACACATTTGTCTTTTATTGGATGCCAAAGTATTCAACAATAAGGAGCACTCCTAACCTATTTTGTGCAGTTTGTTCACGCTAGTCCTTAGTTCTTCTATGTCTCAGGTAAACGTGAATTCTGCAGCTCTTTCTGCAACCCTCCCAATCAACATTTCAAGGGCAGATTTGCCAGTGTGCCAGAGAAGAGATGGGAGACTCGAAAAGCAATTTTGGATTGGGTATTTAGATTTAGTTCCTTAGTTACTTCTGTTTCTTGCTTGATAGGACCTGATCTTTTAAGTAACACTTTCTTACATAAGTACTTACATCTTTAGCCTTCATTCCT